AGCTTTTCCTATATTGTAAAAAAATTTTACAGCTCAATTGGTCCAGATTACATTCCATACAAAACTTCATTGTCTTATAAAAATACCTGTTAAAACTCATTTTTCTAAGATAAAAATATTAATCATTTTTTAAACACTTTTTACAGACATTATATTTTTACCAAGTTCAATTGTGGAGGGTTGTATCGGACATGAGAAAAATCTGCAAGAAAAGAATTACTTTTGGTTTCACAAACAACTTTTCATTATTCGGCAGAGTTATTTTTCAGAAAGTACAAATTACTGATCGTAAAACTAAGTTATTACATGATAAGAAAGTGGTATAAATGAGAAAAATTAAAAAATTGTCTAAAAATTTAAAAAATTCGTTTTAATGACAAATGCATTTTGTGTTTATTTTTTTTAGTAATGCAAACATCACATTCATAAAAATATTTGTTTCTTTCAAGATCAGCGCAATTTTCGTGAGCCCAACCTTCATAAATCCCACACTAAATCCAGTCTTCTTCAAAAGTTTCACCACAGATGATGCAGTGAGTCTCTTGGTCTTCTCTCTTTTCTTGAACTGATTTAGGCCTATTTACTGTTTTCTTTGTTTCTCTTTACGCAGACGATTTTCCCTCAGCAGTTTTCTTCTAGCTTCATAGATTCTTTCTTTTTCTTCTTTATTTCCTTTATTCTGCCGTAGTTTACCCATATTGTCTCGTAAAACAAAAACATTCCGTGAGAATATAGTTATTATCAACCTTAAACTGTTTCCGATACAAGCCGTAACACCTCTGTCTCATATAAACCGCAACATATCTGTTCGATACAACCCGAAACATCATGGAACAAAACATCGGTTACCACATACGTATTAGTAATCTTAAGATTTCCGGCCAACAAGTTAAAAAAACAATAAATGTTGTTTTCAACAATAAACAAAAAAACAACTTATTCTCATTTTTCAGGCAAGCTATGACAACCAGAAGTTATCTTTGTTTACTCAAAACACTATTTAAAAAAAATCAAACTTTCTGCCACGTGTCAACAACACTGTTGATTGACTAAATATGGCGGAATCTAAACTTTATTTACCCAACATTCTGGTGTCTTCACAGGTTCTGCTACTTGCAGCAAATTTTAGAAACAACGCTTGTCTATCGATACTATCCGCCGTCCGGTACTAGAAGATATTCCCGTATACATTAATTTCGATAAAATTTCTTTCATGCTTACAGAAAACATTTACTTGCTGCTTTTACATTGGGATGAGTAAAATATTAAAAGAAAATATAGACAAGATGATCTAGCATAAGACATACAAAGAGAATCGAACGGAAATTCATAAATTGTTTGATTATTCTCAGAAACTCTTTTTGCCCTGTTGCACCTATCGTGGTGGCGTGGTGGTGAGGGAAGGAGACTGATTTATTCGGGAATGACTGCCTTTGGAAAATTTCCGTGAATTACTCGTTCAATATTCGATCTCGGTTTCCCATAGTAGTAAGCTGGCACCTTAATAAGCTGCTTTTGATAGGTACTTCTTACATTTATTACGTCCTGGTACGTCTTTCCCTTTCGTTACATTACGTGCAATTGTTTATATGGGCACATGAACTTATACGGTTAGCCAATCAAGTAGCAACAATTTAATGAACTTTTTCTCTAAAACGGGATATTTTTCTACTTCAACATATAATTAATTTTCCTCTTTCAACAGACATTCCGCCATTTTTTCCCCGAATGATAGCGCAATTTTGATTGGCTGAACGTAAGATTCCTTAAGTCAAAATCGATCGATTCTAACGTAACGGCGTTGTTGTCCCTGAAATGGATTTCTGGGATATAACAAAGCCACGTTACGTCACACATTACATTATTTATGCTTGTCTGAATACAGCTTTAACGCTTCGGTCATGACGTTTATGTTATTTTAATTGCATTAACATTACTGAATAACGTTTTGAGAATCAAGAAAGATGACTTAAAAATTGGAAAATAACATTAAAAAATCACTAATAAAATCTTAGTTTTATGTTTAAATTTATACTATATAATATTTTAAATCCTTGGCTTCATTTTCCAAAATTAAATCTGAATTATGACATACATTTGTAAATTTTAAATTTTTTTCCGAATAAATTAAGTGGAATATTTTTATATTTTTATTAACAATAAATAATAAGCATCTTTTAAAAATTATAAAAAATTTTCTCATCAGAAAATATATAATATAATAAATGATATCTACGTTTAAAGTTTTTCTCAAGCTAATTACAACGCATTTTCATTAATAAAAGTGGAAAAAGTAGTTATTTTCAGTTAAATAAGATAATTTGAACCAATGTAAATAGGTGTAATTAGTGCATAAAATCAGTTGAAGCAGAAAACGAATGTATAAAACTGCATTAAAAATCGAATTAAAAACACTGGTTCAATGAACAAATCAAATTCTATTTGTAAGTAGATACTAAAACTTTATAAAATAAAAACTGTACAGTATATAATTTTACAAGCAAGTCACGGATTCTTATACAGTAATTAAATATGTTGAACTTCGTAATATTTAAAAGTTATAACTATTAAAAAATATATCTATTTTACTTATATAACTTCGTAACATAACCAATAAAGTAATCATGTATGTCAAAAGTGTCTTACTTTATGTTCTAGTTTAGTTTCAATGTATTCATATACAGAAATAATAGACTCTATACAAAGAGTAAATAAAAAATTAAAGTTAAATGTTAATCAATTATTACTTAAACTCATATGATAATTGTAGGAAGTGAAGCAAATAAATGAATCTAACGGCACAGAAATTCACAGTTAGATGTAACACGAAGAAAAGCTGAATGAGGGGAGATAACATGCCACACACAGACGTAACAGACCAAACAAGATCGTGACCTATGACCAAAAAAATGTAAAGTTCTTCAACAGTACATAGCGCCGTCTAATACAAAATATGTCTTGGTACACAGAGATTACATTTTTACTTTCTTTGAGTAATGTTTATTACTATATTCGTTATGTAAAAAGTAAAATAAAACAATTAATATAGTAAAGAAGAAAAGCTGGAAAAGGGTATAATTTATCCCTTATAATCTTTAAAATGTAATTGCATTAATTCTGTACTCAGGAGACCTTAAAAAGTCGAAAAATGGAAAAACTCAGAGGGTCAAAATTTAGTCGATTGCCACACTTTCTTTCCTTTCTGGTTGTTAAAGTAACAGCCAGGAAAGTAACGAAACTTCATTATATTTTTTAAAGTAAATGCAATTTATTGAGCAAAATGAAAAGCTGATCAGCAATAGATACTGTATGTACCGGTACAATATATAATAGATTATTACGACATACATCAGTTTTTATAGAGATTGAAGTGTTAGTTTTCGATGATTATTATCACCATGTCATAGTGAAAAACAGTTTTTTTTTTTTTTTTGTTTCTGTCTTATAATGAAATTTATTTAAATCACACAAAGTTTATGTTATTGTTACAAACAAAACCAGCTTTTCAATATAAAGATAGATTCTACATATAAAATTCAGTGCATTAGATTAAATATTGTATATAAACTTTATCTTTATTTATTTAATTTACAAGATAAAATTATAATTTACAGTGCAATCTGTAAATATAGACTACTGCAAAGGAAGATCATTTGTAAAACAAATCTAGGCTGAACTCCACCAATTCTTTTCCTATGTTAAATTGCTATTAACGAAGACCAAAACCACTTTTTCTTAAGATCTTATGCCATTGACAATAAATACCTTTATACAAAGTCTATCCTTATTGTTCAATCTCGCTAATCAGAAAAAAATGTAGAAATTAATACAGTAAAGAAAAACGTATTTTTAGGACTGTTACCAATGTTAAAACGAAAAAAGGAATAAATAGGACATCACTGTATAAACGTTAAACGGTGAATCTACTGCATGTTTGCCAAAGTGGCACATCGGGAGAAATGATCTGGAACGTAACATATCATACGATTTCGGTTTATCACCTTTTTTCAGTCGTCCTTTTTCAATTAGCTTCTTTACTTCTATTCTAATTAAAGAGTATTCGTTTAATTTCTTTAAATATTCGAAGTCTAAAACTTCGGCACGCATAAACTGTAACTGCTATAAGTTATGTAACATAAGAAGTGCCAGGAATAATGCTGAAGTAAACTGTACGACTTTTAAAATCACTAACGTAAATGCACAATTTTTAAAAAATAAATAAAATTTCGTTTAAATACGTGTGTGAAAATTTCATAATATTTTAAAAGTAATTAAATAAAACACATTTCTGCTGTAAAAGAAGCTGTAAAAGAAGTTATCGCACCTTTTTATGTACTACTTTTGTAACTTCATGTACTGTAGTTTGATGTACCTTTTGATGTACTGTAGTTTGATGTACCTTTTGATGTACAGTACTAATGCATTTCGACAATTAATTACTAATTATTTCAAATAAATATAACAAGTTTTAATATGTTTTTAATTTTTAAATACAATTTTTTTTTATCTGTCTTATGTTTAAGGTGATTAAATGTAAATTCCAACAGAAGTTAAATACACTGGTTTGAAAACTTTACTGCTGTTTAAATAAAGAACTTAATTAAAAAATATTTGATTAGTATTTATTTATTTCAAGTTCCATAAAATTAGTTATATTTAGGTAAAGTTTAAACACCCTGTGATCATACCGATCTGTAGCAAGCAAACCTGATGCTAATCGTATAACAAAGCGCGTTGATTGGAACAACTGCAATAAATTATTTATTTCTACGATAAAATCGTAACTATTTTTCTGTGTCATAGCTTATTAAAATTATTTACAGTCATCATCTAGAGTATCCATTTACAGGCAGCTGAAAAATAATTTAAAATATACAAAAACAATTGATTTAATTGTTTAGTGAAGTAGACATTTCGTAACCTATAAACTTTCATTTAGATTTTGCCACTGATAACAGAAGAAAAAACATTAAATGTAAATAAATAAGCCTTTCATAAGGTGCAAAAAAAAAAAAAACCACTAAAACACTGTCGCGCATGTAAAGAACACTAAAAATTGTTGCAAATTAATTAGATAATACAAATTACTAAAATGTTTTCATGCTCAATTTTTAATTTATTCTCATAAACATTAAAATGTTTTTTATGTACAATAAAACATTTTAACACGAAATCAAATCAACTTAACAACTGATTCTTAACTTAATAAATTAAAACATAATTATCATAAATCAATTGCTAAGTCGATTTCTAACAAAACTTTATCTTAAAATAAAATATACTCTAATAAAAACACTAGTTTTGTTTCATTTCGAACAATTTTACGCGAACAATCCTTTTATACAGTAAATATAATAAATATATAAATACGACGGTAGAGTAAATTCTTCCAAACTTTTCTCAATTGTATCAGATAAAACATAAAAATGGAGTCTTTAATATAAAAGTTAATATATACAAGAGGACAGAAGACATCTTAGTCGAAGTTTCGTGATGTTTTTGGATAATAAATTACTGAAATTCCTAATTTTCCATTGTTATTAATAATTGAGTGCAAACGTTAACAATGATATCGATTTTCGTATTTCTTTCTTAAAGTATTCAATATAGTTTCGTGGATTTTATTGTTTTCCTTTACGTATTTTATTCTTCGTTTATGATCCGTTCTGACCGAAGCTCCCATTTTAATACCGGGTGCGTGAACCAAAAAGGCATTGTTTAATATAAACACATCGTAACCCATCAGGCACAACTCGTACATCTGAAAACAGGAAAATTGAATGCATTATACAAATGTAAATTATTAGAATTTCTTCTATCGAAAATCAATCATTATTATTTTGGAAATGCTCATTTATATTTTGAGATAAAGAAAATATATTTAAAAAAATACGCACGACAATATTAACAATTATAAATAAATAAAAATTGTGATTGATTACACCTTTAACACTATACTTATGGAACTCAAAATCGTGTATAAACATAGTGTTTATGGCACGGTTGACACAAACACTGTGTTTATACATAATTTTGATTTCCATAAGTATAGTGTTATAGGTGTAGTCTAACCACAAAATACCGTATGACAATTTGTTTATAATTAGCGATTATGGCATTCATGGAAATTGGTCTACTCGCTCCGAACTTCTATTTATGCCATAATCGCATATATTATAAACTAATTGCATATTATACTATTATATATTCTGAAGACAATTTACGATTATTTTATCTTTTAAATTTCTTTGCCAATTCATTGTATATCCGATCAAAATTCAGTTTGATCAGATATACAATGCTATTACTAAATGCGACGTAGAAAACTGAAAAGTTTTGAAAATAAATTACAGTAGACCCCCTATAACACTGTAGATAATTCCGTGTTATATGAATTCCATGTAGTACGAGTCACTTAGATTTTACAAATAATCTAAATTTTAAAATCTAAGAGACTCGTACAACATGGAATTCATATAGCATGGAATTATCTACAGTGTTTTAGGTAGGTTGTACTGCTAAATTGAAAAAAAATTATGAAAAAAATCAGTTTTTTTTTCAGCTACAAAGCATTAAGTATAAACAATTCTCTCCTAGAAAGATAATTACTTACTTGTGACATTTTGTCTTTCTTTCCTTCCCAAGATAATCTTTCGTCATATAGTGGTTCACGATTAGTACAGATGTATATCGGTTCCCACGATGACAGAGACGAATTTCGTTTCGTTACGAAAAATACATCTAACGTATCATTCGGTGGCAAGTCCTTTAACCAATAATCTCTTTTAGGGAATCTTTGGCAAGCGTCACAAATATACTTATGAAAAAACACAGCTTCACCTTTCGACATCATTCGTACTAGTTCCGATTTGACATTTGGCAATTGTGAATTTTTCTTTATTTCGAAAACTGGAATGGCATATACATGCAACGAGTCAGATTCGTTCAAAGTTTTAATCATATTCAAAAATCGAGGCACTATCCCGATACTCGGGTATAATTCTATATCAGAAGGGAAGACATAATGAGTTTCTGCTTTTAGTCTGGCTACATTTCTAGCTACGTTGATGGGATATAAAAGCTTTTTATCATTTTTAAAGCTCGAGGTTAGGTTTAACGAATCGGAACAGTTTATTGGTTTCACGGATTGATTTGTTGGCGGGAAATCAGCATCGTAAATCATATGCCATGTGACATTTTGGGCGATGCAAGGAGGGCCACACTGCCATAAATAGGCTATAGTGAGATGAGCCGAAACGAAGTCTTCGCCGGGTGCGTATACTGCTACGGAAACTGGAGCTTGCCAACGAGAACACAGCATGGCTACGTGAATCAAAAAGTCGTATGTACCTTGAGTGCATAGAGTAACAGTAGAACTATAGGAAGGACGATTAATAGCACGTATATAATTGGATAGAACAATATATTTTCCACGTGTTTCTTTACTTTCGTTGTTTACGTTGCTAATAGAAAAAGTAATATTAGGTTGAGGAGTCGTCGTCGTCTTCAATACCGGATCCAAAATAGCTTGGTTTTTTTTTATTTGAATAATTATGTCTTCATCAGAATATAAAATTCCTTTAAAGAAATTTTTGCTCATTTGAAGTGGTATAGTTTGCATATTAAAGAGATTTACAACGAGAATTAATCCGCCGAGGAAAAGTAGAAGAAGAAAACAACGTGTTAGTCTTTCGAAGGCCATCGGAATATTTGGAAAATTTTTCCATAAAAAGTCTGAAAATAAAATGTAAAAGTATATTATTAGTGTAAATGTAACATTAACATAACTTACATTAAGCAATATCATTTACAATGTACTTTAAATTCGTCCCGAAACTAAAATGCAATGGAAGACAATTATCAGTTCTCTCAATTACAACACAATAAATGTCTAATAACGAATCGTATAAAATTAATACGCGAAATCGATTAAGTGAAATATCCAAAAGAATTACATAGCAGTGAATAAACCTTTAATCTGAAAATACAAGGCAAGCTAGAAAAAGAAGGCATGCTATTATTTGTCGTCATTTCTTGAATCCAGTTCAACGAACGAGTCGTCTCTGGTACATTAACTCTAAACAAGAACCTGTTCCACTTTTTCATGTGTAAAAAAATCTCATTTTCCAATTTTTTTAGTTCTCTGCATTCGTATATAATATATTATTAGACTACGAAGATTTAACCATATCAACCAAATAAATAATAGTAATAAAACTGATAAGTAAAAGTTTATTAAATTGCAGTTACTTTTAAATTTATAAATATTATATTATATTTGTATGAATGTCTTTCTAATATAATATTTAAACCAGAATATTCATTAGTCTTTTCTACGCTTAATCATTAATAAATAAATAAATAAATGCAAACACAAAGGAATTTTTGTCTAGCAGTAAATGAATGAGATTCTTAATGTATTATAAACAATCATACTAAGTTACAAGCAGATAATTGTAATGTAATCAATAATTTAAACGGATAAATAAAATATTGTAGTGGTATGGAATTTTGAAATCGCCAATACAGAGAAAAAAAGTTGACGGAAAGATACGTGTTTTCAAATTGGCTACAATAACCTTCCCGGAGTTTATTTTTTTTACGTCACGCATTTTTATCGTGACTATTCTGATGTTCATACACCCAAAACATTTTCCCATTTTTTTTTTTTTTTACATCCTAATAATCAGCATCGAAACTTTTTGGCAAAATTTCAAGTATGTGTACAAATATTGCTGTATTAGCATGAGTGTGCTACTTTATTCATTACTTCTGAATTTAAAATATCTGCTGCAACCTTTATATTAAATTTTTCAGTACACTATAACTTATAAAATTACAAAAAAAAATTTAATAAAAATTTCCAAAAAATTTATCAAAAATTAGTTAATTTAAACAATTTAATAAGTTATTTCAGTAATATTTTTCTTATGACAAACATTACTATTAAATCTTCAACTATTTAATTGTTATTAATTGAACTTTTATGTTATTTTTCTTAATAAAAATTGTTGTTTTCGTATCTGTAGAGCATTTAATAGCGATATTTTAAAAATTTTGAATATTAAAAAAATTACAATTTTAAACATTTAAGATATATAAAATTTAATATAAATAATTCTTGAATTAGAGCGTAACAATAATACGTAGAATATAATGTTTATTCGTGTGAAAGTTACGTAACGGTTATATAACACGTAAAACTTGAGTCCGAAGCATTGTTTGTTTTAGCATCGATCGATAACTAAATTAGGAATATATTTGTTATTGTCTTAAAAGAAAGTTTCATATTTCTTTTTAAAAAAATTATAAAATTCCACGAGTGTTTAATATTCTTCAATTCGTTAGTAACATGTAATTTAATTAATGATGACATTGAAAAGAAAAATTAAAATATTAAATTAAACCTTAATTTACGAAATTTATTTCCTTTATTTATCAACTCATTTAATTTCTTTACTGTCTAAAATTCATCCAATTTCGAGACTTTCATTTAAAATTTCTTCTTCAACTGTCAACTGTTCACAAATAATTTTAAATGCGTAATTTCAATGATAATAATGATTGAAATGTGTTTAAAATGATGCTATTTTTTTATTTTATATATATATATTTAATACTACGAAATCGTGATTCTACGTGTAAAATATTTTAAATCATAAGGTTTGTTCGTTTCGTTCAGAAAGTGTACACTTTTATGTCAAATTAACTTCATTTTTTTACTTATTTACTCCAAAACTGATGTTACAGTGTACGCATTCTATATGAACAGGACTATAGATTCCATTGAACGGGACTAAATTGTATAAATTTTAAACTAGAACTGAGTTTATTCTTCTGCTAAAACTGACATCATGCAACGAGCTACCCTCTTCTCATTCTCTATTTTCTTTAAAGGTATTACCGGTCGATTTTCATATAATTATAAAAATTTTGCATTATTCGTTTCATATTATTTTCCTGTTTAGTAACAGGAAAAGAAATTTAGAATAATAAATGAGAAAATGATAAAAGTTTATATTATAGTTATTTAATAGGTTGCGGCCGACGTTTTCATCGCAAAAACGTGAACGTTGAACGTTCAGAGCCGCCTTCCTGTAAGCCTAGAAGTTTGACAATGGCGTTTGAAACGTCAGTGGAATCATGCTCGACGTTCCAAACGCCATTGTCAAACTTCTAGGCTTACAGGACGGCGGCGCTGAACGTCCAACGTTCACGT